TAAACAAGTTACTCTTTCTCATGCCTGGAGTTTACTGGAGCGGTATGAGGTATCCCTCTATCGAAAACTCTCTCGTGTATGGTCATTGGAGAACACCTTGATTATGTCTCTCACAGAGAATGGTGTTTTAAAAACCAGCGTCTTTCGTTTTGCGGATGGGCTAAATAAAAGTTTTTCTGTCTCTATGGGGTATGGGGTTCTGGCGTTTGTTTTGTACAACGGATCATTCATCACAAGTAACGATAAAAAGAAGGAGGAAACTGGAAAGGAGAAGCGGGGATTTATCTCCCAGACCGTCTCATTGTTGCCTTTGAGCGGATTCGGTCGCATTGGTTTTGAGGCATGGTACAATACTAGCGAGTGGCAATCGATTGGCATTGGATTTGCAACCGACCTATCTTTATCCATCCTTCCTATTGGTTACAAGACGCGTAACAGCAGGGGGAGGGCGACGAATACTATCTCTTTCCTTTACACGCGGAAACAACATCGCATTGAAATTCCAATTGCGGCGTTTATTTCTTCTGAGTTTCGGTGGGTACTATTATGGTTGATGACGCCGTGGGTGTGTTATCGTGCGGCACGAGTTGCTTGGCACCCATTCCAGCGCTCGAGGCTAGCAACGATTTATCGTCAGCGCCGTTTAGAGCACAGGACGGAAATGGACTTGGCGCGTGTGCGTGCTATGCACGAGCAGAAGGCGGTGGAAGTTCTTTCCTTACGAAACCGTTTAGCGGAAGAGAAAATTGGTGGACTTGTTATCATCAATGCGAAGTATGGTGTACTGAATCCTCGCTACCCGGAGTCACTTTGTTCGCCGGTGAAAAACGGAGCGGCGAATGCGTCACAACGGTTGCCGTGGTGGCGACGGTGGCGAACGAAGCTGACAGCGTCTCTAGCGGGATCTGCCTCTAAGAGTAAAGAAATTATCACCGAAGAAGATGCCGTTGCATCATCTGTTCTGGTGCTAGACGTTACAGTTCCGCTTCAGAACTTTGTTCGGGACTCGCAGCTTGTGTTACCTGAGGGTTCGAAAAGCAAACTTGTGGGATTCACTGACCCCGATCCTTTCACAGAGGAGGAAAAAGAACTTAAAATTGTGTACTGGTTTCAGCGTAGGCGCCACGTTGTGACTTTAACGGATAGTGAGCCGGTGGAGCTGCCACGGCGAGAACATTTGATGGAATCATAGGGTTCCTTATTAGAAGCTGAAGAGGAGGTGAAGGGAGAGAAGTTGTGTTTTTGTGATTATTTTGCTGAATGGTGCGTTGTGAGCCGCGTCACAGGGGTGGAAGGGGGAAATGTAGGAGGAGGAAGAATCGGAGAACAAAAACAACAACAATAAGAAAGAAAAAGTAACGTGTCCAAAGTGCAGATAGCCGCGCATGCATGCATACTTACAGATGCGTTTTGTCACACGCTGACCCCCTTTTTCCCTTTTCTTTTATTTTGCGCGAGGGTGGGCGGAACGCAAAAAAAAAAAAAAAAAAAAAAAAAAAGGACGGGCTGAGAAGGTGGAAACGTGTTTATTTTTTTATATTTTATATTTTTATTTTTGCTTTTATGAGGTTTCGCTTTTTATTTCTCTCTTTCTCTCTCTCTCTGTGTGTGTGTGTGCTTTACGATTGCCGCAGCTTCAACTACTTTTTTGTTTTTTTCTTTTCTTAGGGTTGTGCGTCAAACAGAAGAGGAAAAGGGGGGAAAAAAAGTAGTTTGCCTCTTTAATTGGGACTTTTTTCACAAAAAATATTCTTTTCTTTTTTCCCTTTTCGCTGTGTTTTGTCAGTTTGGCCAGTGAGTCGGTGGGAGGAAAATGCCTGGCCGCTGGTTCACTGCCGCTTCGGAGCGCAGAAACAAGGCACATTATGCTGGCGGTGCACTTCTGCGTAGGCTGATGAGTACAGCCACCAGGCATGGACCACTTGCCAGTGGTTTGTGCCGCTCAATGGGGTTTATGTCCATTGAAAGATCTCCCGTGCTTTTCTCACCATTGCTCTTGACGGCTGCACGTGGCTTTGGCCATCTCGTGCGTGAGGTGGACCCTCACGGGTTTAAAGGTGACATCCATGCACTGCGCCACAAAAACTCGGCGAGTACCCAGCGCTATGTTGCCGAGGCTCTTGCCTCCGAGGAGAACATCATTTTCTGTGGTGCCTATCATACAGGCAAAATGACAATTCTTAGGGCCATCGGTGAGGTGTGTGAAAGGAAGGGGAAGAAGGTGGTGTATGTGTCTGCGGATTCACGACGTGCTTGTCGCATAGACGGAATGCTGCTGCATCACTTCCTCGGACTGCGCTACTTTGGGAAAAACGAGCTTCCGTCGCAGGATCAACTTGAGGGCGCTTTGGGGCGTCATGTGCGTCTGTGCGAGTCCACATATGCCTCTTGTGTTCCCAGCCTGGCGACGGCGGATGTATTTATTTTTGACGCCGTCGATCAAATAGCCCCCACCATCCTCACCTCCATTGACCGAGTTTGCCGGGACCTGCGTGGACGCCCGAGAGAGCCGTTTGGTGGCCTTCGCGTTTTTGCCGCCGCAGACTTTTGGCATCTGCCCGTACACCCCAGCAGCGACACGGGCGGCTACGTTTATCAGCTGGACAACTGGGATGAGCTCTTCCCGCGGCAACGGCTGTTGGAGAAAATTCACGGACAGGCACGGAGACTCACGTCGTTGGTTAACAAGGCGTACTTCGGTCTCCTCACACCGGGTGATATTGAAGAGCTGGAGGCACGATCCGCGACGCGAGGGTTGACTGTGGGGAAGGAAGACGAAAGCCGAGGGGTGGAGGATGCAGACGGAAGTGATGTTGATGATGAGGAGGAGGACGGTGCTTCCAACGAGTCGTCTTGCGGGAGTGGTAGACGTCACAGTAAACATGAGAGCAATAATAACAATGATAAGAGCAAAGAAAGCGGCAGTCTTTTCGCCGGCCATGTTGCGTCGTTGCCACCTCAGAAATTAATCTCCAACGTGGAGGCTATCGTAAAGTTTACATCTCGTTTTCCGAAACAACCAGCAATTCGAGTATTACCACCTCGTTTTCGTACACTGAAGCGGACGGAGATTGGGAATTACGTTGTGAGCATGTTGTTGCAGTCTTCTCTACTCTCGTCGTTTTCTCTCGTTGACTCGTTAAATCTTGACGTGGGATCATCGGTGCATCTCTTGTTAGGTGCTCCGGCTTCCTTTGGTGTGCCCCCGGGTACCGTGGGTGAGGTGCTGCAAGTGAAGGAACACGTGCTCGTGGTGCACTTTCCATCTGTACATCGCACCGTCGAAGTGCCTCGAATGCGTGTTAGTGTTTACCACTCTTTTTATCCCGAGGTACGTTACGAGATTCAACAATTCCCATTATTCCCACGGCAAAATATCTCCCCATTGAATATTCTAAATTACCAACATGCATACAACGTAGATATTGATTGCCACCGTCTTGCGGATACAAATGATCTTGGAAATATTCTTGCTCGTATGCGCTCTTTTGATGACTTTAGCATTCAGCGGATACAAGACTTTGTGCGTTTGGACGGAATGATTCATGAGCCGACACGTATTTATTATCAACGCATTTCTAACCGTCCACTTTCTACCGCTGCCGAGCAGTGGTGTCGCAACTGCAAGTCATATGTGCCTACCAATGAATTTTACAGCCATTGGAATGAATGCATCCGACAGGTTCGATGGTGCAGCGAGTGTAACACACGTATTCCGCTGGAGCGACTGGAACCACACCAGGAAAAGCATCAGATCGTTCTTTGCTTAGATTGTGGCAGAGCTGTGGAGTGGCGGCGGTGGGAAGGCCATCGGCTGACATGTTCTGCGATGATGCGAGAAGTATCACCGGAAAATGAGTTTCTGCCCCTTCGCACACGTCAACTTGCATTGGAGTTGGGGCTGGACAAGCGAGACCTGCACACCATGCGGGCCTTCAGCCGCAGTTTACTTCCCAAGTCAAGGAAACACTGTAGTGGGGGCAGTGTGTGATGACACAAGGTGGACGGAATTTTTTAGTGGGTGGTGTCCATTGACTCTCGAAGGATAAAAAAAAAAAAAAAAAGAAGTGCGGAATGTGCGTGTAACTTTCAGAAGCGCATGCGTCCATCTATCACTTCGTGCCCTACACTAGAAGGCACACTGGCATATATATATATAGATATATAGGCAGGCTCTCTGTTCTTTGTTTTATTTGTGATTCTCATTACAGAAAGCACGTGCCTTTTACTGGGTAAACATATTGCTACGGTGAGGTGTGCCGAAAACTCTTTTTTTAACAGCCGAGTTCTTTCCTTTTTTTTTTTTTTTGTGTGTGTGTGTGTCTTTGTGTCTGTGTTATTTCTTTTGCTTCTTTTTTCTCTTTTGGTGTGGAATCGCCACTCGTGGTGGGTCAATTTCCTTCTGTCAAAGGAGGAAATGCCTGCATATGACTGAATGTTTTCCCTTGTGCTTTTTGATCTTTTTTTTTTTTTTTTTGATCTCTCACTTTTTATTCGGGGGAAAAAAAAGGGCAACAAAGTTGCGTGTGTCTCTCCCTCTCTCTCTCTCTCTGTGTGTGTGTGTGACTTTGGTCGACATGCCCTCGTCCGAGCGATGGCGCCCATTTCTCTCGCCACATTTAAAGGAGTACATGGACCGCTACTGGGCCGTGATGTTTACTGTTGGATCACGCCCCATTGAAACTGGCCACCTGCGTCACTATGTGTCGTGGTACTGCACGCGGATGAAGGTGGTACAGCTGGACCATCACATTTATGCAGAATCCCTACACCGGCAGCTTCTGGAGGTGGCTCAAACCCCCGAATTGCCATTATTGTTTGTGAATAAAAAACTAGTTGGAACACTCCGCGATGTGCAGGAGTTGGAGAGTGCGAAGAAGTTGAAGGATGTGTTGCACTTTGGGTTTGAGTGGCGAGTGGGCGGCGGTGGTGTTGGGGAGAGGCCGTTGCAGGGCTTTTTACCGTCGCCGTACGGAGACACGGAGATGTTCCGTGGACGTTATCGTGGAGCCCCCGTGGCGAGACCGGTGGTGGCGCTGCCAAAACTGCATCCGTTGGACCGTCGCTCGGAGGAATGAGAGCAACACGCGCCTCAAGGGCAATTAAATTAACGAAGTCCCTCTTTTTTTCCCGTCCCACATTTAGCGCGTGAATCTGCGTGTCTCTCTCTTTTTGGGTGCACGCAATGCTGGATAAAACTGACGTGAGAGAAATGGGTGGGGAGGTAGGGCGACGCTGTTTTTGGCCTTCCGTTTGGTGACATTTTGTTGTTGGTCTTTTCTGCGTATGTGTCTGTTGGTGCATACATACATATATATAAGCATGCATTGCTTTGGTTGTATCTGGCACGTGTGGGGGAGTTCCGGTCCGTCATTGCCGTTTTTTTTTTTTTTCTGCCGCAGAGATTTCCCCTTTCATTGTCCAAGGATTCTTCAGCAACAACGAAAAGGAGGAAGGGGGGAAAAAACAACACGCAATGGGGAAGGTTCAAGAAAGTCAGAAGGAATGTCCCGAGTTGTCATTGCAGTCAACACCGGATCTTGGAGGTGATCTCGAGGCTCATCTTGCGAGACTGCGTGAGAGTGCCGATGAAGTGGCGGCGGCGGGAGGGGACTTTAGGGAACATCCGTCTGTGTCATTTTATCGCGGTAGTCGTCCCGTCCAAGTGCGGCTTCCCCCTCAAAAGGAGGGAGAGACGCAGAATGTTACGAGTTGTTTACATGTTATTGCCCTTCATCAGGCACTTTTACCGCCGTGTCGGGACGGCACATCCTTTTCGGAAGAAGAGCAGTCAGCACGACTTTCTAGTCCAGACGGGCTTGAACTGCTTCAGCTTAACTGGAATCGATTACTTTGGCTTCTCATGCCGTCGGTGCAGCTTGGCACGAGGACGGAGGGATGCACACTAACGGAGGCGGATCAGATCAGCGTGAAGAAGAATGGAGAGTTTACCAAAGACTCTTTGATTTCTTATTGTGAGATGTCTCAAGCATTGACATGGAAGGACTACAAGCAGCTTCGTCATCCCAGCATGATGGATCGCGTACACTACAGTTACGTTGTTTTTCTTCGCTTTTACGGGTGGCGCCTTTACGATGAGGAGAGTGGCATATTGGACCGACACCGGAATTGGCGGGCACGGTACAAGATGTTGGTGCCCCGTAGCGATGTTCATGACGGGAGCGTCAGTGACAGTGAAGTTACAATCGGATTTTATAGCGCATTGTCTCGTATCCTGTGTGTGCTGCTGGAGCTGTGCTTGACACGTTACGCTGTGAATCTTATTGCCTTCCTTCTGGAGGAGATGCATAAAGGACGACTGTTGTTTTTGCAGTCAAAGCTGGAGAGGTGTTGGCTGCCGCAGATTCTCCACAGCAAACAGGTGGCGGAATCGGAGAAGGAGCGGCTGCGTCGGCAGTTGTACCGTCTTGTTCACAGTGATTCCGACTAGTACATGCTCCTCCACTCTCTTGGGTGCTGGTTGCTGAGGAGAGGGAAGAAACAAAAGGAAAAAGGAAGTAACGGGTGCCTATTTACATGCATGACATACATCCATGCCTTTTTGTGTATATTCATCTCTTTGTGCGTGTGTGTGTATTCATTCGGGTGAAACTGTAGAAATGTTCATTTACGCGGAATAATGACAGTGTGGAACTTCTGCGGGAATTATTTTCTCTTTTTTTTTTTCTTCTTCTTATTTCTTTGACGGGTTTTGTTTGGAGAACAAGAGAACGCATTCTTGTAGGAGGCAAATGGATCATCAGTTTCTGTGGGACGCCGAATTTGTTTACCCCATCGCGAGCGCTCTTGTCGCCGTGGCCGTGAACTGCGCAGTCGCCCCAATTGTTGAGCGCCTTCTGCCACCGCTGCCACCCGCGCAGGGAAATGAACGGCCTCAGGATTCCCCAATTGCAGCTTCTTGGATCACAAAAACTCAGTGAACAAAAGAAAAATAGAAAAAAAGAAACGAAATTTAGGTCCTTTTATCTTTGCCATATATATATATATATATATATATATGTATGTGCGAAGTTTGCATGTTGCCACTGTTGTTCCCCCGTATGTTTTATTTATACAAATAACTTTAAATGCCCCTCTCTCTCTCTTTTTCCTTTTCTCCATCTATGTGTGTGTGTGTGTGTGTGTTTGGGAGGTGGATGTGGCAATTCGCAAATATTTTTCTTCTTTTTTTTTTTGTTTGTTTGTGTGTGTATTTCTGTCGTTCGAGAGGATTTTTGGGAAATGCGTTTCTGTGGTGTGTTTAGGTTTCAACGCACACGCGTGTTCCTTCAGCAGCTCCCAATGCCCATGCCCCCACGGCGCCCGGGCAGCACTGTGAACATGCAGCACTCTATGGAGATGGAGGCAAAACGGCGGATGGAGTTGGATGAGGCCACACGCAATCGTTTTGTTGTGGTAAAGGAGGAGACCCGTGAGCGCGACGGTCGTGTGATTGGCATTGATCTTGGCACGACAAACAGTTGCATCTCGTACATTGATAAGGAAACGAACAAACCAAAAATTATTCCTTCTCCAACGGGATCTTGGGTGTTCCCGACTGCGATTACATTTGACAAGAATCACAAGGTTCGCCTGTACGGGGAGGAAGCTCGGGCGTGCGTTCGCACCAGTGCAAGCGCAACGCTGTGCAGTGGCAAGCGACTTATCGGTAGGGGTGTGGGTGAGCTCGGTCGGGTTCAATCCCAGATTCACAAGACGAACATGTTGACGATCAACGAGAAGGGGGAGGTGGCTGTAGAAATCATGGGCCGGACGTACACCGTTGTGCACATCATTGCCATGTTTTTGCGGTACCTGAAGCATGAGTCGGAAAAGTACCTGAAGGAGCCCGTGGACGCCGTCGTTGTGAGTGTTCCAGCCTTCTTTACGCCGCAGCAAAAAGTTGCAACAGAGGATGCGGCATTAGCGGCGGGCTTTGATGTTCTTGAGGTGATCGATGAACCGTCGGCAGCGTGTCTGACACACACCGTCCTGCGTCGCGACAAGGATGGCGATGCGGAGGGAACGCAACTGTTCAAGCAGTGTATTGTACGGTCCCTCGTATTTGACTTGGGCGGCGGCACACTGGACTGCGCCATCATGGAACACGATCAACGCCGTGGCACCTTCACACTCGTGGCCACGCATGGCGATCCACTTCTTGGCGGCGACGACTGGGATGCGGTGCTATCGCAACATTTCCTGGAGCAGTTTGAGCGTAAATGGCGTGTTCCACTGGAGGACGCGGAGGGAAACGTGGGCCAAGGCGTGGCAACGTACCGCCAGCTTATCCTTGAAGCAGAGAAGGCAAAGATTCACTTCACGCATTCCACAGAACCCTACTATGGATATAATCGCGCCTTTCACTTTTCTGAGAGGTTGCGTGATATTGTTCCCCTTGAGGCGACCTTAACACATGAAGAGTACGTTGAAATAACGCGTCCTTTGCGGGTTCGCTGCGTAGAATGCCTGAACAAGCTGTTTGAACACACTGGAATTCATGTTAAGGATATTGACCATGTGCTGCTCGTCGGTGCCATGACGCGGGATCCTCCTGTTCGACGCATGCTGTCGGAGTATTTTGGATGTCCTGTTTCCGCAGAGGATACCTGCCCGGCAGATTACGCCGTGGCTATTGGCGCCGCCATTCGTGGAGCAATGTTACAAGACAAGTTTCATGATTTATCGGCGAACACACGGTTTTTAAGCGGCACAGCACAGGCAATGCGACATGGCGGAACTTTCCGTCGTATTTGGAATCGAATGAACGCATGGATTACACGGTCCGTGAATCCCAACGCGATTGGCCAGCGTTGGCGTGGTCGTGCAAAGGGTCTGAGTGATGAGGACATTGCCAAATATGCGAAGGAACTGGTGGAGTTTGAGAGTGCATGTCATCGCCGTTTGTTACTGGAGCGAGCGGAGAACGATGCCAACTTTGTTATGCGCCGTGTGACGGCAGATTCTAACAAACGGCAAGGAATGCAAGAGAAGCGTGTAAGGCAGTTGAGTGAGCAGCTCAAGTTCTGGCAGTACATGGTGCACAACTTTCACGATCACGAGGAGGAGCTGCATCGTACCGTGAGAGAGTTGGAGCAGACGCTGGATGAGCTGGAGGGCAATGCGGAAGACAACGTCTCCGCACTCACGACTGAAGGGACGGTCAACTTTGCCAAGGCGATCCCCGTCAATTATTGCGGTGAGGAGGATAACGCGAAAAGTACGCCAGGTTCTTATCCAGCAGAAGCAATAGCAAAAACGGAAAAACCAAAGGCAACATCAACATTAGAGACGGATAAGGCAAAAAACGATCATGGAGGACAGAAGGCAAAGCCAAAAGGTCCCAAAATTATCCGACGTCCCGTTCCGCTACCAAAGACGAGTTCTGAGGCCCAGGAACTTGTAGAAGCGGGTCATCCCGCCTTGCGTGGTGCGGATGTCGTCATGACAGAGTCCACTCGCAGCTCCTTTTTTGAGGCACAGGTGGAGGACCGTGCGTGGCGAGAGCCGCCGACACCACCAGGAGAAGAAGGCTCCTGGCAAGAAGTAAAGCGTGCAGTTGAGGCTGGTGAGGCGGTGGGAAGTCCTATTTCCCCACAAGAAATGCAGCGGCCCATGACTCATGAAGAGATGTTGGAGGTGATACTAGCAATGGCGCCGATTGACGAACCAATAAGTGAGGATCACGCGAGAAGGCGTGACCTTGCACTTGATTTGCAGACCATGACAGTTGTGAAGGGTATGGTGGACATGGAAGAACTGGAGACTCAATTGAATGAGAATGCCAAGGCACAAGAGCAGTGTCAGAGGACACAGAAGAGAGCGGAGATGAGTACTCCAGCCGATGCCTCGGCCAGCCTCTTTAGAGGGGACCGAAGTGTGTCCATGTAGTTTATTATTATTATTATGTTGTTTGGTGTGCAACTGGTGGGGGTAGGGGAGGGGGAATGTCAGTAGAACATCCGTCTGGATGCCACCTGCCGTATTTTTTTATTATCGTTATTGCCATGGACAATCACATCAACTTCGCTGTTTTGCCAGCAACAACAAGAAAGACAATATGAACCGGATTTTGTTTGCGTTTGACCATCATGATTTTTTAAAACACTCAGCTCCCGATTCACATCTGTTATTTAACTCACATGCATGCGCATTGTAGTTGTATGCATTTTCACGTTGTCATGCCATTTTCCTTTTAAAAATTACATTTCATAGGGCTAGCCGCCATGACTGCTGAGAAGAGCCACACGCACAAGCAGGTGCAGACCTTCGGCAAGAAGAAGACGGCTATTGCTGTCGCTACGGTGACGAAGGCTGCGCAATGCAACATTCGCGTGAACGGCGTCCCTGTTTCCCAGATTCTCCCGGAGACGCTCCGTGCGAAGATTATGGAGGCCGTGAATGTGGTCGGTTCCCGCCAGTTTGCTCGCCTGCGCATCGATGTAACAGTCCGTGGTGCTGGCCAGGTTGCCCAGGCCTATGCCACTCGCCAGGCCATCGCCAAGGGCCTCGTTGCGTACTACCAGAAGTACAAGAACGAGGTGGAGAAGGCCGCACTGAAGGACAAGTATCTTGCGTACGACAAGTATCTTCTCATTGCCGACCCACGCCGCTGCGAGCCAAAGAAATGGGGCCGTCACTCTGCCCGTACCCGCTTCACGAAGTCATACCGTTAAGTATTACGTTTTTGTTGTCTTTGTTGCAACAATAGTAGAGGACGGGCGCTTTTTTTCTTTCTCAAGGGAAAAGGGAAAGGACGTGCTGCCACTTTTTCGAGTTGGTATTATTTCTTTTTTTTTTTTTTTAAGCTTTTATTTGTGCTGCCGGTGTTTAATGCAGCTGTGCTTTTTTCAGCAGATTTCTTTACGCTCTTTTATTTTATGTGTGTTGAATGTAAAATGCCTTTCTTGCATTCTTTTTTGACCCTGATGTAGCACTGAAATGACTGCTGAGAAGAGCCACACGCACAAGCAGGTGCAGACCTTCGGCAAGAAGAAGACGGCTATTGCTGTCGCTACGGTGACGAAGGCTGCGCAATGCAACATTCGCGTGAACGGCGTCCCTGTTTCCCAGATTCTCCCGGAGACGCTCCGTGCGAAGATTATGGAGGCCGTGAATGTGGTCGGTTCCCGCCAGTTTGCTCGCCTGCGCATCGATGTAACAGTCCGTGGTGCTGGCCAGGTTGCCCAGGCCTATGCCACTCGCCAGGCCATCGCCAAGGGCCTCGTTGCGTACTACCAGAAGTACAAGAACGAGGTGGAGAAGGCCGCACTGAAGGACAAGTATCTTGCGTACGACAAGTATCTTCTCATTGCCGACCCACGCCGCTGCGAGCCAAAGAAATGGGGCCGTCACTCTGCCCGTACCCGCTTCACGAAGTCATACCGTTAATGGATTCAGCGTTATTTCTCTTTTGAGTGCAACCTTATTTAGTTTGCTTTTTTTTTTTGAATTTAACAATTTTTACTTGTGGGCGTATGCCGTTTCTATTTTTGTGGATGTGTGAGCGGGAAGGAGGATGGGGGAAGGGAGTTGTGTGTGTGTGCACCACGCTCCTTTGCCTCTTTTTCTTCTTTCCTCTTCCCTTGTATTATTATTGCGCGTTTCGTGTGGAATCTCTTGCTGTGCCTCAACCCTCCTTTTTCTTTTCACCCGTTTTCTCTCTTGTTATTTTTGTATGTGTGTGTGTAAGTGTGTTTTCTTGTTTAGGCATTGCAGGTCAGCGCGACGACGAGGAGGGAGGGCGAAGGAGAAGAGGGGGAGGGAACCAACAGGAAGAAGTGGAATTGGTATCATCCTTTTATTTCTGGAAAAGGGTGTAGAGCAGTAGAATTGTTTTTACGTCACATTTGAATAGAAATGCTACGCATTGTGTCATTGGGTTCGATTGTGGACGACCCGCGGTTTATTTATCGTAACAAACACAAGGCTATGCCGTACCCGGTAGGCTATACGATTGAGCGAGGCGTCTTTATTGGTGCTGGCGGAAACGCACTTGGTGAGAAGGCAAAAGTGCTGTTTCCAGGTGATGAAGGTGCGGACGCGCACGTGGCTGACGTGTACTTCACGGCCTCGATCAAGAAAGGGCTGGATGGGGGTTCACTTTTTGAGGTCATCCGCAGTGATCGACCAGACGTTGTCCACAGCGGCGATAATCCTTCCACTCCGTGGCGAAAGGCGTTTGATGCGGCCGCGCAGGACTTTTCGGAGAGGTTGGGGGAAATTGTGGGGGAGAAGCGTGACGCCAATGGCGGCATGGTGGTGCGTGGACCACGGTGGTTTGGGTTGACCCTCGATAGCGTCTCAGCACGCCTCAAGACACTGCCGGGTGCCAGTGTCGTGTTTCGCGATGGCAAGGATGCTTCACGGGAAGGAAAGAAAACACGAGAGGGTGGGGCCACCACGGCAACGGCGGCCACGACCACAGAAAAAGGAAAGAAAGATTCACGGACAAGGAGTTCTGCGGCAAGTTCACAGCAGGTTTTGTCACGGACCGATACATCAGCTCCTTCGAAAAGGCGGCGTGTCACGGAGAAAGAGCAGAACGACGACAGTGACACCAAGGCGATTATTGATGATGATGATGATGTCCCTCTCAACTTGCTAGTTACAGGAAGGATCAGTGGGTTGCATGAGCCGTGCCAGGTGTGCGGTCTCCGGACTTCGTTTTGCCCCATGACGGGTAAACCACACGGGGTGGCCAAGTCACAGAGAAGCAGTGGGGTCTCTGCGCAGGGGGAGGCTTCAGGCAAAAAAAGTCGGACACCGCTAAAGTCAAATGTGCCGTCGGATACTGTCGAGACGGCATCGAATCGAGCAGGAAGAAAACGATTGCGTGACACCAATGGCGTTGACGCAGCGAATGCACCAACTGTTAAAAGGTCGAGAGGGGGTGCGAGTAAGCCGGCGACTCGACAAAAGACGGTGAAGGTGGAAACCCCTTCTGCGTCTGCAGCATCAACACAGGATGGTCAGAGGAGACGACTGGTACAGTTAAAGTTGCCTGGGCAAGAAAGTAAGACAGAGTCCGTGGACATGGAGGAGATGCCATTGACAACACTTCTTGCAAGGAAAATGTTGACAGCGACTGGCTCCGTTAAAACGGTGTCGTCGCCACTTCCCACTTTACCATCACCAACACAGTCGCCATTCTGGAGACCCCCACTTGCGGAACCGGAGTCGCAGAAGGCATTGCGGGTTCTCCAGCGTCTTATTCGTGCGGAGGAAGTTATTCATGTACCGTTTGCCTCGTTGCTTCACCTCCCGTTAGTGGCTTCCGCGAAACCACGAACAGTGAAGAAGAAAAAGCAGGAGGGTGAAGATACCACAGTTGCGGAGGAGCCTGGGGAGGACGCTGGTAATGTTATGGACGAGGACAATTCTGCAGCAGCCACAATAGCGGGAAAAAAGAAGAATTTGGTTGAGGGAAAGGACCGCCATCCGCTGGATATTACAGATGTTGCTTTTAGCGTCGCAGGGAAGCGATATGTGAAATTCATGCAGTTATACACAAGCGAGAGGATGAAACTTGATTTATTGAAAAAGGCTGACGTGATTCAACCGGTTCAAAGAACACGTGGGACCGAAAAAAAGCATACAGAAACGACCGAGGGGGTTGCTCCAGCTTCTTCTTCTTCTATTCATGCAGATGAGGAAAATAATGAATTAAAGCAGGAGCTGCAACAGAGTTAACGATCAAAGATACACTTTACATAGAGTGACAGAATACAAGAAAAATGAGGAAACAATGAGGGATGAAAAGGTGAGAGGAAGAGGAGGAGAAGGGGCGAGAAGAAAAAAAAAACAGAGGGACGGGGAATGATGTTGAGTTGTAGTGTTGAGGCAAACAAGTATGCCAATATGAAGCAATTGGACATCTTTTTTTTTTTTTTCTTTTTTTTTTTTTCTGGTCTCTGCGCACATGAGACATGTCTGGAACTGAGCAAGTGGCTCTCTCTCTCTCTCTGGCTGTCAATTGGCGCGTGGTGTACGAGTGGACTCCTTTTTTTTTGTGTGTGTGTTTGTCCGTCTCTGTGAGTCTTTTGGGTTTTTTTATTGAGACCGCATAATTGTTGCGCAGTTGTTGGTGAATTGGCAATTTCTCTTCAGTGCGTTTTTTTTTATTTTCCTTTTTTTTTTTGGTTTCGTTGTGCTTTCTTTTTTGGATAAGGGTGACGGGAGGGTGTGTGTGTGTTTTGATTTTTTTTTTTTTTGTGTGGGTGGCTGTCGCATTCCTTTCACGCAAGAAGTCAAAAGGAATATAAATATTTATTTATTTATTATTTTGCAAGAAAAAAAAAAAGAAAGGAGGGAGTGGAAGGAATTTTTGTCGTTGAACGAGCACACAACGCGGCGCACATCAAGATGGCCCTATCGCGGACGTGGTGCCGCTTTGCCGCGACGACATACCGACAGTCGAAGGTAAGTGATCGTTTTCAGCTGTTGATCACAAAGAAAGAGGTGGAGTGTGACTATGTTGCCGTGGATGCGACGGCACTTGTCGCAATGGGGCTGCGTCTTGCCAAAAATGTGACGACGGAGCAACGACGACACAAGGAAGTGGCGCGCCACGTGGCACAAACGCTGCAGCAGCTGCTCAAGAAGGTGCGCTGCAAGAAGTCACTTCTTATCGCCATGGATGGTGCAGAGGCACTGTTGAAGGCAGAACGCACGCGGACGAGTAGTCTGACGCGGAAAGTCGAAGGTCGTCTTATGCGCCTCCCGGGAACAGCCCTCATGCAGGCAGTGGAGGAGCGTCTGGTGCGCATGATGCCAGAACGGCAAATTGTGCCCGGGGAGGTTGTGTTCTCCGGCACATGTGTTCATGGATGTGTGGAACAAAAGATGTCTGCGTGGGCGTTGGACCTGGCGTCTCGCGAAACCTTTAACGGGAGCGTGGACTCACTTTGCTTCATTGGCGCATCCGAGTTGTATCTGAATGTGATGGCCCTATCCCCCTTCTACAACATCACTAGTGTCGTGCAGAATAACGCCGACTTGCGACAAATGCGTCTACAGGACATTCTTGAATGGCTCGAGCTGGACAAGAAGGCGAAGGAAGGGGAGAGCGTCGCGATAGCAAAGATGCGTACAGACATTCTTTTCTTATTTCTTCTCGCTCACGGTGCCTCTGCGACGGAGCTCAACCCGATTTCGGGTGTGGGCTTCCAAGAGTTGGTGGAGCGCTACATGAGTAGTATAACCGCCACGCCGACTCCCGACGCCACACCGTCACCGAGTGGCCACCAAGCGACATCATCTGCATCTGCGGAAGGGTCGTTTTTGTTTGAAGACGTCTCTGGAAATGCGCTTCGCCTAAATGTTCCTCTTCTTTGCCGCATACTGCAGATGGTAGCCCGTAAGGAGGCGGTACCTCGAACCGACGCAGTATCTGAGATGCATCTGGAGCACACGCTACAGACACACGCCATGTTATGCCTCGGTGGGACACCGGAGTATGATTACCTCCCCATAATGCCATCGCCACCGCAAGCCCATTCCTCGACCCCCACTTTGGTTCAATTCGCAGGGCATCTTAGCGCACTTTGCGGTACTTCGCCATACCGCATTGCTCGTTGTGCCGTGCCGCGTCTTAACGCCACGGGTTCAACTGAGAAGAATGAACAGGCGCCGGAAAAACGCCCTCTGACGGCTGCAGAATACACAATTCTCTGTCAATCTTTGCCAGCTACGGTGGAAAGTTTGATTCATCAATATGTTGGTGTCGCACCAAAGCCGGATGTTGGCAAGACAATCACCACAGCGAGCACGGCTGAGGCTCATAGAATTGTGAGAGAAGTTTTGTCATATGCTAATCCCATGAAACCAAACAAGTGTTTGTGTCTTTCCCCATCGTATTGCTGGCTGCAGAGTGAGAAGACGCAACTTTGGCGGTTTGAGTACGTTGATGTTGGTGTCCGCAGTTATCAGGGTGAGACGCGTCGTGAACGTAACGCTATAAAAGGTATGACGTTGGAAATAAATATGTCTCGTGATGGACCGTCGCACTTTGCACCCTCCAGTGGGACGTGGGAGCCAATCGTGAACTTCCCATGTGGAGCGGAGGGAGAAAAAGGAACGACAACAAACACAATAAAAGGCACCGAAGCGACAGCCACGGCATTACAGGGGAAGGATTTAACAAAGAAGGATACAGAATCGCCACCAGCAACAGAAACGGCAACGGAAAATGAAGTTAAATTGGAAGCGACGGCGCAGAAAGATGCTTCTGATCCTGTGTTAACTCCTCACTCGGCGCGTAGTAGCAAAGAAGGAGGTCGATCATCCAACAAAAACCAGACGACATTAAAGTTGCTTACGTGGAATGTCATGTTTGATCGGTATAGCGGAAAGCCAACCCCGTTGGGAATGCCTGGTATTGATTGGTGTTCCCCGAAACGGTACCCCGTTCTCGCAAGGGTTATTCAGCAAGAGGATGCAGATGTTGTAGGCATGCAAGAAGTTGAACCCGTTTTCTGGGAATTTCTTTCAAAACAGCCGTGGATGCGCGAGAATTATTACTTCTCATGCGGTTACACAAGTCCATCTATTTCACCTTGGGGTGTGCTCATGCTCGTGCACCGCCGGCGATTTCCAGTTCAAAGCATTACATATCTTAATGTTCCCGCGTGGACAAATCACGTCTCTTTAATGCCTGTTGTGTGTCTTCAGTTGCCACATGGGCCCGTGCACGTGGCCGCTGCACATCTTTTGGCCCCGTACACAAAATCTCATGAGACGGCACGTACCTCCCAAGATTCCGCGTTGCGGCATCACATGTTAAAGACATTGACTGGTGATGTTGTGACGATGGGCGACTTTAACGACTGGCCCACAAATGAGTTTCTTATGCCGGCGGAATCACAATACGTTGATTGTTGGCCGCTTATTTACCCACACGATGCTGGAAAAACGATGGACGAGACGAATACATTTTGCAAACTGAAGGTGGAAGAGATGTTTTTTGGACGTTCGGATAAATTGTTTTTGCGCAGTCGTCGTCTTGCTCCGGTGGAGGGGCACCTTGTAGGCACTAAAAGTGTGAACGACGAGAATGGCAATAAGGACGCTCCTGGCTACTTGTTTCCCTCGGATCACTACGGTGTAAGCATGACGTTTGCATTGAAGCCGTGATGGGCTTTTTTTCTTTTACATTTCCGTGTTTTTCCTCTTTTTCTCTGTGTGTGTTTGCGGGTGTTTTATTCTTCACGCATGCGTGAGGTTTTGCCGTTGAGCCACGACGAGGTCACTGTGCCGTCCTTTGTGGTTCTCCCTGTTTTTTTTTTTTCTTTTTCTTGGTGTGGGTGGGTGGAACGCTGCAGTTTTGTGTTCTTTTGCTCTCTCTCTCTCTCTTTTTCTTTCCCTTCACTTTAGTGTGGGTGCGGGGGGCTGGGCATTGCTTTCTTTTGTGGTTTCTTGATGAAAAAAATGGTGTTCTGTAAGATGTGCCGTCCTCTGCTGGTTTTTTGCGCTACCAGCTGTTGGCGTCGTTCAGCACGTCTTCCGTTGCCGTTTTTTTTTTCTCCATTGAACCTGCAGGTGGCTCCATTTACGTCATGGAATCTACAAGCACGTTATTTTTCTACGACAGCGGGTGGGGGTCGTGAGGGCACCAATTCATCCGAAGACGATTACGTCTTTGACCCCACTCTCAGTGTGCAGAAGGATGCGGCAATCCACGTAGCAAAGAAAAGCCTTGATGCAATTGTACGTGATCTTCTTCCTGAGAATGCACCGGATGCAGCGACGCAGAAGGTTAGGGCGTACCTGCAGCAGCATCCCATGGACACTCTCATTACACAGCCGACAGTTCATATCACCCATGTGGAGGACCCTGAATCCGGCAGAGAGACGAAAATGTCATTAAGCCCCTGTGATTTGTCAGAGGCACTGGAACAAGCACAAGAGCGAGAGATGAATCTGGTGCAGATGGGAACTCGCGGAGATGTTGCGTACTGTCGTATTCGTCGTGAGATTCCTCGAATTTTAGGGCTTGTGGGCCCCGAACTAGAGGCTCTCCGTGAAGAAGAGAAGCAGGAAGGAAGCAGTCATCGTGGGGGTAGTGATCAGGCAGGGGGCAAGATACGTGAGCTTGTTGATCATTCTTTTCGAGACGTGGTCGATGCACATTTTGTAGGGTGGAAAAGCAAAAAGATTGTGGAGGATATTAAGAAACGTCATCCTGTTAAAATCACCATCAAGGAGTTTCAGTCTCCCGAGGCGGCCATTGGTAAAATAAGGGAAATGTGTCAGGCGATGCAGCGGTATGCTGAAGAGAAGTTGATTTATCATCACTTTACGAGCATTGTTGCAAATGACAGGGAGGTGAGCGTCTCCTTTGTGCCTTCCCTCCCCTCGGAGAAGGGCAATTCGTGGAAGCACATTAAATACCCCGGAGAGAAGGAGTGGGCGCATGCAAATAAACGCATGGAGGAGGCATGTCGTAAAAGCGGTCGCTACGGAACGTACGTGAAAAACAACATGCTGAAACCGCGGTCTTTGGGACAAACGTTTTTTCGTGTGGATAAGTACGGTAGGAAGATTGATTGAGGAATGAAAGACGGACGAAAAGACGAGAGAAAAGATTAACACCACCACCGCCAACAACAAAAAAAGAAGAAGAACAACAACAACGGCCGAAAGGGGAATAAAGAAGTGAAGTGGCCACTGAAGAGAGCTGCATTTTGTCATTGCTGTATTCAAGCTGCACACGAGGCTTGCGAGGAAGAGAGATCCATCAGCCTCATATATATATATGTCTACTTTCTTTTTTTTATTTCCTGGGGAAGTGGAGGATGGTCATTTGGCGATGTGCTGTCCAGCTGCAGTGTCGACGTTGTTAGTTGATTCCCTACTTTTTGTATTATTTTCTTATTGTTTTATTTTTCTTAACCTCTTTCTTTTTTTTTTTTTATGGCTCAAGGCCGAGACTCTGAATGGCGGACATGTCAAAGGATGAGAAGAAGAGGAAGAAGAAGAAGACACCCGTTATGGATGTCAATGGGGACGCGGGGGTAAAGGATGAGGAGGTGCAGCAGCTGCTTCAGAGCGGGGTTTGGAAAACCATGAAGCAGGAGGAGACGGGGAGGACATATTACTACAACACAAAGACGAAGCAGACATGCTGGGACTTGAAGAAGGAGCTTATGAAGCAACGCCGGGCTCAAGAGGAGAGAATTGTCGAGGACACGGCAGCCGAAGAGAGGACGACGGCAAAGGTGGAGGAGAGGGAGGCGGAACCCTCGGTGTCTTCGCGTGGTGCTGCCGAGGCTTATGTGGATTCCGCGGCGTCTGTAACAAATCAACATATGGATTTGACTGTGGTGCCTGCGACACCTCTCACGGACGACGCAGGAAATAATAACAATAACGAGCTCAGAAACGACAAGGGTGACAACAGCCATCAGACAGTTTTTTCTTTTAGCGAGAAGGGACGGGAACTTATGCAGATTGAGACGTATAAGGATCCTCTGGAGCGTCTTATGGATGAGACGAATTTGCTGGAAAAACTCATGTTGTCGTCTGGTACATCACAAGCGATGGCATTGGACTTTCAACGCTCCTACGAGGCCTTGGCACGCACCAACAAGGCCCTCACCACACAGATGATGAAGATGAAGCAGGAGTATGGGGCGATGGAAATGGCACTGAAGGAGGCAAATATGAAGTTGTATGAAAAGGATCTGGCGCTACGTGAGCTGCAATGCCGGACGAGGGCTGTGGACAAAAAAGATGAGGCGGAACGAACACTTATATTTCTCCGTGAACAGAATCAAGAGTTGGTCCGGCAGGTGGGTGAACTCACGGTTGCTCTCTCACGTGGGTTTAATGAGTTAGCGTATCAGCGGGCCCTCACCTCCGGCGTGGGGGAAGTCGACCCAGAGAAAATGGCTGCGAATCCCCCGTCATTGGGCCAGAAGGACTCTCTCGGAACGACGCTCGATCGCGTTCTCAACAACGCGGTAACAAAAAGTATCATTTGTTCCGTGTGCATGGGGGAACTAGAGAAGTTGCGGCTCAGTCTGCTGTCAGATGAGGAAAAAACAGTCGTGCCGACATCAAGGGTCACGTGCCCTTCTACTGCCACTGTTGGTGTTGGCCACCATCATCATGCGCATTATGTTCCTGCGGTCCCACATGCAGTGGCATGTAATTACCCCGACCAACCAACAGCCAAGATGAAGGGAGGAAAGGACAGCGGCGACACTGGCGGAAGCAGTGGCTACTTTCAACGTCAACCACCACCATCACCGCCATCGTCACCCTACCAACAGCAGCGACAGGGCCAAATCGGAACTCATGGTGGTTTGGGTGTCCAGCAATCGTCATGTTCAGCGCCACAGAATGACCTGGCTCATTATTCTTACTCGCGCAATGGTGTCGGACTGCAGTCTTATCCATATCCACGGCAGCTGCCGTCACCTGAAAAGGCATACGGCCGGACAGCTTGGAATGCTCAGGCAGACGACGGGGAAAACGACAAATACGCGGATCATTTTCCTAGAGTATCCATGAATCGTCGATCTGAGTCGCGGAATTCCGTGGTCAGTGCCGCTTCTGTCTTTGGTGGATTCCGCATTCGTCCCTCGCATTGATTTACTATTATCATTATTATTTCTCTTTATCGAGCTTGCGCGTACTATTTCCTTTCCCTCTCTTTGTTACTTCCTCACCGGTGCCTAAGATAATGGTGCGAATACTCCAATAAAGCTTAGTGTCTTGGAATAGTGCAGAAAACAAGAAAAAAAAAAAGAAGGAATAAATCTCTCTGGGAGACGTGCATTTACAGGAAGATTAGGGGTGGGTCTACCACTATGCTGAGGATGATTATACTTATTAACTTCCTGGGCAATTATCGAGTTTCAATTTCGCTTTTTGTAATAGCGTGGCTGTGTCCTCGCTTGCCATGAGTGGGAAGGGGGAAGGCGAAGAAGGGGTGGTGGAGTTGCCGGGAACGGAGGGACAACGGCCCCGTTCGCCGTCAAACTGGCTTTTATCACTACTCGCACTTTTTTTTTTTTTTGTGTGTGTACCGACTTCTCACTGCTTTCCCTTTTTTGTTTTTTTTATTTTTATTTTTTCTGTATTTAAACACACGCTGGTGTATTTGTGCTTTTTTTTCCCCTGTTGCTCTCTTTGCTTTTGCTTCTCTCTCTCTCTCTCTCTCTGTGTGTGTGTGTGTGCTCTTCTTTGTTTCTCTGCGGGGACAATGGAGGAGAGGGGCAAGAAGAATAAATAAATACTTTTTCTTTTTCTACCGGTTCCCACAGCAACTGCAAGGAAAAGTGTGAGTTTGTGTGTGTGTGTGTGTGTGTGTGTGTGTGTGTGTGTGTGTGAATCGCGTTCCAACAAGGTGGCAGGAGTGAACCACAAGGCGGCGATGGAATCAGTTACCGTACAACAGCCAGAACGAGAACAACAGGAGCGGCCTGCTTCGGTGGCGGGGGCAGGTAACGCCCCTGCGGTAATTCCTCGAAGACGAGGTCGGGGAACATTCAATCAGCCAATGCGGGCGGATCAGCCTCTTGTCAACAACACCAAAGCGAGTGCGGTCAGCGACGGTGCGTCTGTCTTGACGGCCGTGACAACAACCGTTCTGCCGGCTGTTTCCCATCCGCCGGCGCCACGGGTGCCGGAGGAGGATCTTGCAGCGGAGTACGGCGGGCAGAAGCGTGATATTCCGCTAAACATCCGTGAAAACTTTGGTGTATGTGAAACTGAGCACGAGACGGACACCGTCCGACAACTTCTTTTTCGTGGCGAGAAGCGACGGCGGTATTGCATCATTGTTGGTGAGCTGCAGAACCCGTCCCGTCCCATCACGCTGAAACTTTTTGGTCACAAGGGGTTAAAGCCGTTCAAGTTGCAGAATAAACTCATTCGTCTGGTGAATATCAGCGTTGGCAGGCCACGCCCCCAGCGGCCGGCGGTAGAGGATGATTCGACAGATGCAAATTGTGAACCAACAACAACAACAACAAGGCCGAGGAGGAGAAGCATGACCACTCTGAAGAACTCCAAACGGAGGGTTTTCCCGGTCAAGAGGACGCCAATGGCGACCCTGAGACAATTTCAGAAGAGTGTGACGAGCAACATGGGAAAGTTGATAGCGAACAGGAAAAGCAGACGGAAGAGACAAAGTCGATGGAACAAGAACAGGCGCCACAAAGGGAAAATGAGACAGTCTCTCTAGAAAATCGTGAAATAAAAGAGGGGGATACGTTCCAGAGAGGCGAGGATGTGGACTTTTACGCGGATGAGGAAACTGTACTCCCACTGACGGTTGAATTGCGGGATTCCAATACAAGCAATATGGGTCAGCCGTCTTCCGTGGCAAACAGCCCTGTCCTTACAGCTACACGCTTTGACACACTTCGAAGGTATTTTTTTGATGAGTTTAAGCATCTTCTTAGCATGGAGGATGTTCGTATGCAACATGTTTCTATTAACCTAAACCTTGGTGCGGCCTATTGCTGCCTCGCACGTGAAGGATCGTACAGTACGCCGTTAAAGTACGCTACCTTCAGCGAGTTTGTGCAACGTATGAATGAAGAGTCTATGCAGCTTTATTTTTTGAAGGATGCACCCACATGTGTTTCTCGTGCAGTGGACAGGGAGTGTGGCGCTCTTCAGTCTGAGGCGGTGTTTTCTCTTGTAAAAATTTGTTTCTTCTCAAATGAGCGACAGAGTCGTTCCGTGGCACGCGCTATGTGGGATGCGCATGAGAATCGGTTTGTCTTACTGGACATGGAGAGTTCTGGTGTAACGTTTACATGGACGGTATTCTCTGTGGACGAGACAGGCGTGGCCGTTGCGGCACCGAAGTCTGCTAATGAAGAAAATGGAAATGTGGGTGCTGTTGGCAGCGGTACGGCTCCCATCGGCAAAGTTGTCATGCGGAAGAAAACTGTGGCATTTCCATTTGAACTCGAGTTTCATGCTTACCACCGCTGGAAGCAGCATACAGAACACCCTGCCGCCCCAATTGCAGAAGCGATTCTCGACAAATTGTCCCTCGCCGAGCATAATTTAATTCACCATGGTTCAACGATTGGCTACGAAAGTATGGACCTTTCGCATGTCTGCGAGGTTGATGCCGAGTCGGAGGACTTTAATGTGGAGAGCATCATCGTCGAGCACACCTCACGCGTGAAGCCACGAGGAACAGACCTCACAGTCGACAGCACGTCTTCACTCTGGATTGAAAATTTTGCGGCTGCTCGTGCCCTTAAAAGCCGTATCGCGCAGGGGATGGTGCCCATTACAACAGTTTCCCACCACGTGGCGCGAGAGAAGCCACGAGGACGTGGAGGTCGTCGGTCTCCTACTCAAGAAGTGGCAAAACAAAATTTAGTCACACCCGCCTCACGACTGACATTTTTTCGATCTCGTAGCAGCACCGTGCACTGGAAGCTGCGGCCCGGTTACAGTACGGACGAGAACCTGGCGCCGCTAAGTGAGGCCCTTTGTTTTGCGCAACAAGTGATAAACACAGCCAATGAGATTGAGCGCACATCGGTGCGTGGTGGAGCAGCCCCAGATGCCCTGTAACGAAATGCAAAATAACTAGCCAACCAGCAGATACAAAGAAGAAGAAGAAACCAAAAAAAAAAGAAAAAAAAAA